CAGATTTTTTTTCAAAATAATACCCTAATCAGATGCATAATTTTATGCAGCTCAATACAAAGTACAATAACAAATAAAAATAGTCTTATCTACAAGGCTTTAGATGATTTTGAACAAATAGAAATTGCCATGGCTTTTTTGCAAGACAGTTTTCACCAAATAAATAAATATGCATCTCATACATAGTACCGGTACAATAAGTATAAAGAGAAACCAAATTTGCAAAATTATTTAAGACCCTCCTTGATGATTTTTTTTTAAGAATGCTTTTGTCCGTTTTTAATTATTTGCTGATTTTATTTACGATTAGAATGCTTTTTTTTTTTTTTTACCTTTTTGTTCGCTGGTTTTGTTTGCATTTAACAAGTCAAGCATTTTTTTTTAACATGGCTTTGCATCACTACAGTGTTTGATTCTACTTATTTTCAACACTAGATAATAGTATTTTTTATTTATTTATTTATTAATTTAACTATACCGCAATGAAAAAAAAATTAGTAATTCGATGTATCTTAATGAAATTGATCTGGGGCCACTATGGTTCTAACTTCAAGTTAATGTGTATTATTTTTTTTGTAATACCAAATCTCTGTACATATAAATCAGATTGTTTGCGTGTTTTGTGAACAAAATTTCTGCTTTACTTACGAATAAACATAGATAACTTAATTTACAAAAAAGAAGTTATACTATTACATTTAAACTTGAGGTGATAGTATATGCAGAAGGCACTTTTAATCGTCATGCATCATGCTTTTACAATATTGACTGAAAATGAGTTCAAGAATAGAAAAAAAAAAACTGAGCTTGAAGCTATAAGAAACAAAGGTCAAGCATAAGTTCTTGAAGATCGTAACTAGAAAGCTATATACCCTTATTAGAAAAAGAGCTATTAGATTATATCAAAAAAAAATGAGAGAAAAAGATTGCAGTCATAATGTTTATGATTAAGAGAAAAGCTAAAGAGTCAGGAGAAGCTCTTAGTATTGAAAATGCTTAGTTTTTGTATAGATGGGTCGTACGTTTTAAGAGTCGGCACAATCTGGTTGAATATGCTCGCACACAAATTTCGCAGAAGTTTTCTGAAGATATGCCCTTAGTCATTAGAAACTTCCTTAAAAAGACATGTGAAAAAACTGTAAATATAGAAAAAAAAAATATAATTTCTTTTGATAAAACCTCGATATGGTTCGATATGCCCTGGGGTTCGACACTTGAGTTTCAAGGTGCCCTCAAAGTTCTAATTAAAACTACAGGAAGTGATAAGCTGAGATTTACTGTAGTTTTAGATTATACAGCTTCCAGTGACAAACTCCTGGCTACTGTGATTTTTAAATTAAAAAAAATCTCCAAATGCAAGTTTCCCCAAAATATTGTAGTAACAACAGCACCTCACACCAATATGATAGGAGATTTAATAATTTCTATATATATCCTACGAGTTATTCGAGCAAGGCCCAATAGATTTTTTAAAAATAAAGGTATAGTTTTCATTAATCATCATAGAAGTCACATCTGTGATGATGTAGTTAGAGCATTAAACACAGAAGGTTTGGATGTTTAGAAATATCTGGTAGAATGACAAGTGTTTTGCAGCCACCTGATATTCAATAAACAAACCTTTCAAGAGTGGAATAAGAAAAAAGTAGGAAAAATAGATCAAAAAAAGAAATAAGGAATTTACTACCAAGGGAAACCGCAAAAAAGCTCTATACAAACTCGTTTGTGAATGGGTATCTCAGATATAGAAGGAAATTAGTTCAAGCATCTTGGCCAAGTCTTTTGAATCAGCTAGTCTTATTTTAAACCCTAATAGAAGCAAAGATTACAAGATGTCATACCATCTCTAGGTGATAGTCAAAAACTATATAAATGATATTGATAAAAATAAATTAGTAGATAAAGAAAGTGTGTATTCGGAAGATGAAGGGGATGAAAATATAATAGAAGTCGATATAGGTGATGCAGATATGAATATGGATGATAATATGAACATTAATATGGATGATGATATAGATAATGATATGTACTTAACTGATAAAGAGTGTAATGATAAATATTTACACATTTTTAATATTAATAGATAGATAGAACAATAAACCTTTTTTACAAGTATTTATTTAAAAATATTTAGTACAATATGCAGCTTTTTCAATTTTTTTTATTATTAAAATTCTTCCTGTATCTCTTTTAGAAGATATTTAAAAAAAAGTTGCATATCATACCAAAGATTTTTGAAAGAATACTTGTTAAAAAGGTTTATTGTTCTATCTTTGATTAATATTACTTCTATATTCATCTCATATATATCAAACTAGATTAAGTTTGTTCATAAAACAGTCTATATACTCTATCATCGATAAAGTTATTTATTAATACTAATGGTAAGTATAATAATTATCCATTGATATTACTTTCTTTTTGCTATTAGACTTTTTGAAATAAACCAAATTTGTTATTGTTAATAAAATGTAAAACAGAAAAGTTTCATATAAATACAAAATAAGGTCATGATAATTTGCAAATAGGAGAAGTAATGTGTTGTCTAATTTCAAAAATTGGAACCATAATAAATTTTTACAAAATTTTTTGTCTTTTGTCTGAGATTTTTATTTTGGATTTTGCAATTAAGATAGTATAAGTACTAAAGGGATAAAAAAAAGTATTAAAATGGGTTTTCAAATCTCTAACTACAAATAAAAAAAAAAATTGCTTATAGGTATAATTTCTTCTAAAATAAAGTCATGTTTGCCTTCTTTTCTCTAGATCTTCTTATCTACTACGTACATTCAATATATTCATAACAGGCAGCTCACTATAAAATATTTTTTTAAGGCACCTATTAGTATTAAATTGGATTGAAAATATGCGAAAGAAAGTATTGTGTTTTCTAGACAGAAATATAAAAATTATAGTGAACTAAACATAACTATAGAAAGTAAAAAAACTAAAACTATAGATTTTTTAAAAACACTATTCTTAATCGTTAATCTTTTTTAAAGAAGGGAAATAAAACTAAAGATCGCTTTGGTATAATGTCATATATTGGTAAATAAACTATACATGTAACATGATATAAATGTATATAGTAGGGTGCACATTATTTCAGGGCGCGTATAGGTGTTATTTTAAAACCACCTATGCTATTTTTAGAGGCTGTGATTTTGAATTAATGCCCATGCCTATTATTTTGAGAATTTATGATAATTTAAATAATAAGAAAAAAAACAATATTAAACTTTGCTTATTAACTAGTGCAATATACTTTTCTTATCTCTTACTATATAGTAGACAATACTTTAACTTATAATAAATCTACTTTTTATAGTATAATACTAACTTGATGCAACTTGATATTTTAATAAAATATTTGTTACAAATATATTTTATTAGTAAAATATAATATATTTGGATTTTTTTTAAATTCTCTTATACTGAAAATTTTGGCTTTTATATATAAATACTTATATAATATTAATCACATCTTAAAATATATATATAAATATTTTAATAATATTTAAACTATATATATAAATACTTCAATAATATTTAAAATATATATATAAATATTTAAATAATATTTAATTATCAGTTCTGTTAATATCAAACAAAAAGTTCAAATGAATTCTATAATTTATTATAAATTCTAATTACAATTACAATACAGAATTTAATATTAGAAAATCAAATAAATTGCAATAAAATTAATATATAATAAGTATACTATTTTCTAATTAACTCAAAAGAATCAAGGCTCTATTACAAAAAAAATCTTAAATCTGTCTCTTACAATTTTACAATTTCTATAATTATATATCTCTAACTTTCTAATCTTTAAATACTCTACTCTAGTATAATCTTTACTTTGAATATAATACTAATATATATGTCGTACGTTGTAATGGAATTATAGTAGATTTAGAATCAATCTAGGTTGATTCCGAATAAACATAGATCGTAATAGAATTCTAAAATGTGCACAAGTTATTAAAGAATTCGAATTTAACTTAGAACGAAATAAAGTAAATTTCGAATTAAATTATTAATAAGTTATTTTAGAATTTAAGTAGCTTCAAGATAATGCTTTATTTATATTATATTCAAAGTATTGCTTTAAAACATTATGCGTGGTTTTTACATTTATGGTTACTAGGGTGACAACTACTACCACAAGGCAAATTCATTTTTTTGTATTTACAGTGATTTTTTTCACAAGTATTTTTGCAGTTGTATTTTACGTTGCCTACTTGTGATGATGATTGCGTGATAGATGCTTTCCGAACACCAATAAAAGTTGAAGGAATATTATCCAATTCCGGAAAATTATCTGGCCCTAATGGAAGTAATTCATTTGCGCTATATGCAACTTTGATAATGCTTGACTTACATCCAATTCTATACATATCGTCCTCTAAAACCTCATGAATCTTGCAAGGGAGTGTTTTCTGGTCACTATGAGTTCTATCAATTTCAGGAATTTTGAGGTGTACCAAATTTCCAATATCGTACTTATTAAATAATCCTTTATTACGTTTATTGAGCTGCAATTTTATATCATCGCGATATCGTTCAAGTGACTTTGTAGCTATACTTCGATAAAGTTGATGTGCTGATGTTTGTTGAACATTGGTCTTGTCTCAAAGAGTGGATTCTGGGTGTTTATCTAAAGAAGACTAAAGACAGAATAAATATAATAAATGTTAATTAATTCTTAAAATTTCAATTCACTAAAATGATGCTTAATTGCTTAATTACCTGAATATCAGTAGTAGACAATTTTAGCCTTTTAGTTGGTCGAATTTCGTGATTATTATTTTCCTCAGGTAATTCTATCTATTTTATAAAATTTTATTATTATTATTTTGTTTTTTTTTTACAACAATATAACACTAATACATACCCTCGTTGCTTTTTTTGTTCTTTCATTCACTCTTTTGTGCACTATCTCGTCATTATTTTCACCTGCGTCTATCCTTTTATCATTCATACCTTTATTATCTACCTTTTTACCATTCATCCTCTCATCATTATTATCATTCACCCTTTTGTTATCTACCTTTTACTGTTCGCTTTTTTATTATTATTTTTTATTATTATTTTTTTTATCTAAACTGAATAATTTAAGGAACAACAATTACTGGAACTTGTTGATGAAGAATTGGAGAATGAGCAAGTAGATAACGAAAGAGATGATAACGAAAGGGTAAATGATGATAAAAGAGTGAATTACGATGAAATGGTGAATAACAATGAAAGAGTGAATGACGATGAAATGGTGAATAATGATGAAAGAGTGGATTACAATGAAATGGTGAATAACGATGAAAGAGTAAATGAAAATAAAATGGTGGATGATGATGAAAGGGTGGACAACGATGAAAGGGTACACAATAATGAAAGTGTGAATGATGAAAGAGTTGACAATGAAAGAGTAGATGATGATGAACATATGGATATTGAAAAAGTAAATTATAGAAGTGTGTATAATAAAAGAGTGAATAATAAAAGGGTTAACAATAAAAAAGCGAACAGTAAAAGGTAGATAACAAAAGGGTGAATGATAATAATGATGAGAGGATGAATGGTAAAAAG